TCATTAAAAAAACTTTTGACATCCTCACATAAGAATAAACACGATCACGATGGCTAAATTTTTTGGAGCCAACCATACACCCCCGTATCAATAAGACGTCATTACGAGGTCGTGCCAAAGACCCAAGGGGAACCGCAAAACTTTGCATCCGAACTCTCGCGTCTACATCGCACGCAGTTGTCGAATTTCCGAACGCGTCCGCAAAACTTTCCAACTCGAGCAGAGAAAAAAGTTGCGAGCGTGCGTTGTAGGCTTTCATAACTTGTGCATCGAAAGAAGCTGATTTTTCAAAATTCCCGCGCGGTTGCCGATTGGGGGAAGAACAGCGGGAAATCAATGTGTGTTAACGATTATGGGGAGAAAGCCGCGACCGATATCTTCGCCGGGGCTTCATTACAGTGGGTTACTCCCGCGGAGGATGAAAATTTTATCGATCGAAGATTAATGGGCTGCAGGAAAACGTCGTCAATTCGGCGGACGCGCGGATATGTTTTCGAGTGTGCCACATTTGGCGTCGTTTTTGCGCAAATAACGGGGGTTTGATTAATGAGTGGGAGCATTGAGTGTTATCGATGGAATTTGATCAGCCGGTCGGGGGGAACTTTCTAGGCAACGATGAGTTTATGAACGGATTTTCCTCTTTTTTTTTTTTTCTTCTTCGCGACTTTGTTCATTTCGAGGAGGTATTTAGATTGGCGCTAGTAATTAAAATCGAGGAGGAGAAGCAATCGTTGGGTTCTTCTGAGGTTGTATTGGCAACCTGAAAAGCAAGTTTCTCTCATCTGGGCAAATTTCAATATACCCGAGAGCTTTTAATCGGGAAACTCTCGAATAACCGAAATTCCGCAAGTTGTGCAACACAGCGACGAGCGTTGGATTAAAAAATGGTAAAGTTCGATGATTACGGAATTGTTACTTTCAATAAGTCTTTGGTTTTTTTTGGGAAAATCTTGATCACAAAGTAGTTATTTTTACTATTATGTTTCAGATAGCGCGATTCAGTTTTTATATATTTTAAAATCTGAAAACAGCTCACTCAGAACTTACAGTTTAAAAATATATATTTCGATAAAATTCATGATGACATTTATATTTGATAGTTCTGATAAGAAACAAACAAATCGATGGTTTAAAAAAAATATAAAACTCGACAAAGTCGAACCATTTTTTTCTGTTTCAACACACTATGGGAGAGTATTTAAACATCCAGTAAATTTTTTAAAAATAATTTACCATATTATTTTCGTTTTGTTTTAATTCCAAAGGTTGTACACTCTGAAAGTTAGTAAAAAGACATTAGTCTTTTAAAGCCGTGCACATTCATGGTAAGACTTTTTTTAATTGTAGAAAGTCATTTTAAGCCAGGAAAAGTCATTTAAAAGACTTAAAAAGATTCAAAACTTTCGTTATTATTTGATAGTCTATAATATACCTTTCCAAGATTTTGGTATTTGAATAGAGACTCAAAAGTGCGTAACCTCCGCTTTTTTTTTTTACAGTTTATCCAACGCAAGGTTACATTGTTACGACGCATTTTGCAAGCATGTAAAAATTCGAGTAACCCACTTTTGGATTTACAGTGTAAACGTAACAGTACCACTAAACAATAGACACCCTCAAAAATACGCAACCCCTCAAACTATTTCCTCTTCCCAACAAACTGCTCCTCCTCTTTTGACTATCCCCCTGTCTCCCTCGCTGTGCAAGCCGCCTTTGTGGAAGACCATTCGACCATCAGTGCTGCCGCACGTGCGTGTATACATACACACACACATACGTGTATACGTTGCAGCGCAGAGAGCTTTTATTGCGCGAACGAGCAACTTCATTGGGCTTTCCTCTCTGGCGCACGGGGTGGGGGAGGGGGGAATTAATCGATTGTCATGACGAATTGGATCACTCTAGTTTCATTTGATTACGCTGATATTTGCTGCGGCCCCGCACCCTCCTCTTTCTATCTTCTATTTTGCTCTGACCTGCTCGTTTCTGTGTTATACATGGGTATGTTGGACAAGTGGCTTTTAGCGTGGGTCTATTCTTTGTACTCGACGCTCGACTTTACCAAGTTTCATACGGGCATAGGAGAGGTACACTTGAATATTTTGAATTCAGGTGGTACGGTAAACGTGACAGATAGATGATGACTTTTCGGGGTTAAAAGGTCGATGGGGCACCAAATCGATGGTATTTACTCTAAGTCTCTTTTTTGTCACAGTAAAATGTGATGCATTGCGTTTGGTGATCAATTCAATTGAAATACGTGCGTGGGGTATTTGAGATTTGACATCGATTTTGTTGCTGAAAAAAAAGCTTTTTAAGAGAATAGAAATGATTTTTGAAGATGTTCAAATGTGATCAAGATCAATGGATAGTCTTGAGCTCACATTAACAGTAATGTGTACTTCCAAGAGGTTTTAAGGGCTTTACTATTTATACAAAAAATTGCAATTTTTTTGTACTTCTAATACAAGAAAAATCTATTTTTTTTCAATTCAAGGTAAGAGAGTAGAGAAAAAATTTTCACTCTCTTCCCTCATCTAAAAATTTCACGAGATTAATTCCTTGATGCTATATCAGTAAGAGAGAAGAAGGTGCTGTTCTGAAACACTCTATAAAATTTTCACAAAAATAATGAATGGATTTTTGTATGAGCTAATTGACTAGAATTATAAAAAAAGTAATTTATTTAACTAATTAAAAAAAGAATATGCGTCAATGGAAGTAAGTAAGTTAATAAGCGTAACACTATTTATACTCTTCTCACTACGAATTGGTTTTAACTTGTTTTAATATGTCACATAAATTATTACTCTCTTGAAAGTATTTTTTTAACACATTTAAATAATGTAATAAGCAATTAACAAGTTGAAACCACGAGACAGAAAACGTGTAAAAAGTGTGACAGAATTTACCCTCTCGAGTGAGTTGAAATCACGCACTTAAATTTGCAATCTTACTTGAGTAACAACTCTAACTCCCCAAGACTCCCATGACCCCCCATGACCTCCCCTCACAAATACATCACCATGAATCGCAAACAACCACAGCTTTCATGCAACATCACTAATCTAAAAAAGGTCCCCTTACTCCCCCTTACCCTATCTTCAGCAGGGCCCAATTAAAAAAGCCTTAGCTCCAAAGTCCAAATAACTTTCTCCCCTCCCCCCGTTTTAATTACCGAAAAAAAAGAAAAATGTATACACATAAAAGCGAAACAGTCTGCGTCGTAGCAAAAGTACGAGGGGGGCATGGACAAAAAGCGAGGACCAAGAGAGACGAAAACGCGAAATAACTTTTCCTCCTGTACACCCTCTCCCTCGGGTCGAATTAAATACTCTCGGACGAGGAAAAAAGTCTTACTTGCTTCTCGCGCACTTGTACCTTGTACGCGCAGGGCGAGGTCATATTTCGTGTCCCCTTGCCTCTTCCTCCTTGTTTTTTTTTTTTTTTTTTTTTTTGTTTTTTTTCCTTTTTTTTCCCAATGCAGAGAGAAAGCGAATCACCTCCCCCTCTCCTCGCGAACAAGAGAGGAAGAAGAGACAGTGGAGGAGGAGGAGATGGCGGGTAATTTCGCGTCGTTGGCTGCTTCCTCCCTTCCTGAAGCGCGCGCGCGAGATAGGCCTCGGTATTGCAGGAGGGGCGCTGTGTGCTTATTGATTTTCGAATTGGTTCAAAATTTCCATAATGGCGCTCGCGGGAGAGTGAGACGGGGAGCAAACGAGCGACGCCGCTGTGCCCTCTCTCTCTTTTTTTTTTTTATGTCGCCACCCCCTTGAAGACGCGTCCCACTCGGGGGGTGGTGAGTGTGGGTGTGTGTATCGAGAAACGGAGGGATGGAGGGAAACGGAGTTGGGAAGTTTAGCTGGTGCTTCTGCCAGCAGATTCGCAGACGCTTTGCCGTTTCTCTCCCTCTCTCATGCTCGTCATGAGTCATGCTTGTCTCGAAACGATTTGTAGACTGACTGTGCTAGCGAGACTGTATTTTTTACGATTTAATTTTTATTTTATTTTTTTCGCTTTTTTGCAATAAAAACGTAAGAGTCAACACTATCAAATTCTTAAAAATTGCACTTAACTTTATCAAGAGGAAACAGGATATTGTTTTAACCAGCTCTGAAAAAGTGTTCATACAAGACAAAGTTTGCGCTTTGCAGATTTTTGCTGCAAAAATTTTCTCGGTAGTCCGGCTGGCCAAGTTTCTCCTGGTAGTCTAATGTGTACATAAGTTTTTTCCGATAAGCAGCTTATATGTGCATATATTTTGATGAATAAAACAAACAAAAATTTGGTTTCTCGTTTCTTACACGTGTTTGAATTAAAAATTCACGATTTAGATTTAAAGCACGTGAATATTTTGTACAAATTATTTGGTTTATGAGCTCATGTGATGGGCTATTCAGATAAGAATATGTTGTTTTGCACCGTAGGTATATTTTTAATTGAAGATAAAAATTTTGAAACACCTAACTACCAAGGAAGTGAGTGAGTTTTTAATTATTTTCGAGCAAAAAGTTGTGAAAATGCAAGAAATTTATTCTCAGCCTTGTCTACAAGAAAGTTGAAATTAAAACTCTTAATGTATGTATTTTTTTCCCTGCGTACATACTTCTTCTGACTTTCATATTTTTTACTTGCATTTTTTCAATTTCACTAGTACATTATTTTGTTATTCAAAAATTGTATTTTTTTTTTTTATCTACTGAACTTACATTAATTTCAAATTATTTACGTAAATTTTATATAAAATACAAGCTGGACTGCACATCATTTCAGTCTCATTTTTACTCTTAATCCATTATAGTATACATACAATTAATGTTGGGTCATTATATCATCACTAAGTATCCTAAATATATTTCTAGTTTTCGAAATTAGTTTCCGTGTAAAGAATACATTTGTTTATAATTATTAATTGTTATTTTCAATGCCTTAACTGAGTAGATGGAGATTTATAAAAAGAAAGTATCAGATATAGTAAAATATAAATTTTAAGTACTTACATTTATGGATGACACTTTGTCAAGGAGACCCTGTAACACAAAATTATTATAGTTATTTAAACGTCGGAATTCATCGTGATAAAAGTTTAAAAATAAAATCAAAATAGATCTATGTAATAAAACATGTTTTAATTTATATAAACTTTTGCATTAAAAAAAACAACATTTTTTTGAATCTAAAGGTTAAAATCTATAATTTATATTTTTTTTCTTAATAAT